TTCAACTCTCAAGCTGATCTAAGAGAGTTTTAAAACAAGTTTAAGAAAGTTTTTAATCAAGGGTTTAAGTTTTGTTTAAAAGAGTTTAAGAGTTTGTTTGAGTTTAGTTTGTGAAGCAAATTTCACAAGAGCAAAGAGGAGATCATCCTTTGGTGTTTGGGCATTCAACTCATCTCTCTCTCACTCTTGATCTATAGAGAAGTTTTCCTTAAACTCAATTCTAGCTATTTATTGTTTTGATCTTAATTTCCATAAGCTAGATTTCTATATTGAGTTTAATTGTTTTATTGATACTCTTTGTTTACACACACAACCATTGAGCTTATTGTATTTTCATACATTGTATAATTTGGGTTGTGGGGATTGTGTAACTTAGAGAGTGAGCTTATAATTCGTTCTCATTCATTGTAGAGAACAAACACTTTGTATTGAGCCTAATTGTGAGGATTCACTTGTAATACACTTGTACACCGAGAGAAGTGTGTGGTGAGAGACGGGGTCGAATCCAAGAGGAGTGGCGTCGGTTGACGTGCCTAGGGAGAGGTTGTAACCGAGTACTTGAGGAGGAGGACACGGGCTAGGACCAACACTTAGTGTGTGAGGTGTGATTGCATAGTGATTGTATTGTGAGGTGTAAACGTTGTTCGGGTAAACGTAGAAAACCCGGTTGTGATAGTGGAGATCTCCTTGAGGTGAGGAGCGGAGACGTAGGTCGTGGGGACCGAACTCCGTAATCATATTCTTTGTTTGTGATTGCATTGGCGCACTTACTTTTATGTTTATATCTTATATCGCCTTTGTATATTGCTTGTTGATTATATTGCCCACTATCTAGTTTAGATTGTTTACCCTTGAGCTTATATATCCTTGCACATACGTTGCCTATATCTCTTTGTTAGGATATATCTTGTTGTTCATATTACTTATCCTAGCTCATATACATTGTTGTATTTCATACTTGCTAGGATAACTTATTAATTAATTTTAATTGGCATTAAATCGGATTAGATTAGCATAAGACCCTAATCACCCCCCCCCTCTAGGGTCTAACATTACCAAGTCAAGCATATTGAAGACCAATCAAGCTTGGGTAACTTAGTTTAGGTGTTTATATTATGTGTGTTGATACTTTAAGCTCAATCATATATACACACACGTATTTGATCTTATATATATATATATATATATATATATATATATATATATATATATTATATATATATATATTACTATATATATATATTAATATATATATTATATATATAGTACATATATATATATATATATATATATATAGTATATATATATATATATATATATATATATATTATATATATATAATATATATATATATATATGATGATTAATGAGTATCCTTGTCATAAGGGGAATTTTTCTCCTTTGACGGCCTCTAAAATCAACATGATTGAGCGATCATTGTGGAGTGATGCGCGCTCCGTTGAAAACTTGGATCTACATAGTTCTAAAAACCCCACAACACAGCCAAGTTTGGGGTGATCCGTGCATCCGTTTGACCTGCCATCGAGCCTATGTGACAAAGTTCTATTCATTCAAAACCGTTAAGATTGATACGAGTGATGCAACGGGGTCAAACGACGACGGTTCACCCGCAAACTTGGTGTGTTGGGGTTATTAGAATATATAGATCAAGTCAAGCGAGTGGACATACGCCAATGTCGCTCATCATATGATTTTAGAGGCGTCAATCAGGAGGAGAATCCGGCGCCCATGACAAGGGATACCCATAATATTATATATATATATATATATATATATATATATATTATATATATATTATATATATCATTATATTATATATATATGATGCAACAAGTTTTGGTTTCTATGTATTCATACTAGTTATATACATACATACATGGTTTTGAGTTTTCATGTTTATAAATATGAGATTACATATTTCATATTTATTATTGTTTTGGTTTAGCTACATAGATATGAAACAACAAACAAATTTATTCAGATTTTAATTTGTTTCATATTCTATTATGTTTAAGAATATATTGTATAGAATATACAATTCTATGAAAATATTGTTTTCTTCATTTATGGACTTAACAATAATGATATACATCTTCTATTAAGTCTATATAATTATTTTGTAAAGTTTCAAAACATGGTTTAGCCAAAATGTCAAAATTCATGTGTTCACATTTTCATGTTTTGGACATACTTGCAAAATACATGAGTTTTCACAATTGGGAAATAAAATTTAAAAAATTTCTTCATTTACATGTTTATATTCATATATACAAATATTTTCCCAAGTTTTACTAATTTTGGAGTTGTTTTGTTATTTTCAATTGAATTTACAAAACCTAGTATTCAGCAGTTTTTTAGAAACTGTTTATCTGTATTTAAACATTTATTTCTCTCAACTGGGAAGTTAGTTTTCAGAAATTCTTTCTCTAACATGTTCATATACATGTCTAAAATCTTCCCACAAAAATTTCATAATTTTTGGAGTTGATTTACTATTTTTAATTGATTTTACAAAGTCAGATACGCAAATTTCCAGAATGCTGGATTTTGGGGTATTTTGGTCTTTTCAGCCTATAACGGCTAGTAACGGCTAGTTTTTGATATTTTCAGTTTTTTGGGGTTTTTGGCTGGTTTAAGAGGCTATAAAAAGCCCTCATCTTTCATTTTTTCTCATGGATGTTTAAGAGAGTTTTAAAAAGAGTTTTACAAGTTTGTTGAAGAGTTTTTAAGTTTGTTTCAAGAGTTTGTTTGTGAAGAAAATTCCACAAGAGCTTGAGGAGATCATCTATTGAAGTTTGAGCTTCCAACTATTCTCCCTCCACCTCTTGATCTATTGAGAAGTTTTCTAAACTCTATTTATTAAAGCTAGTTTTATATTGAGTTTATATTTGATTAATCTCATTGTTACACACACCCACTTGAGCTTATTGTATTTGCACTCATAATATATTTAGGGTTGTGAGAGATAGTAATATTGAGTTGAGCCTAATTGAGTTCTCACCTTGTTTAGAGAACAATCATTTGTATTGAGCCTTCATTGTGAGTTCACTTTGTAGTACACTTGTACACCGAGAGAAGTGTGTGGTGAGAGTCGGGGATCGTCCCAAGAGGAGTGGCGTCGGTTGACCAACCTAGGGAGAGATGGTATCCAAGCACTTGAGGGAGACACGTCTAGGTCCAACACTTGTGAGGGTGTAGAGTGGGATTGCATAGTGATTATTTGTGAGAGTTTTCGGTGAACTTGTAAACCGAGTGTGTAGAAGTTCCGGCTTCCAAACCGGATTGTGATAGTAGATTTCTCCCCGGGAGTGGGGAGCAGAGACGTAGAACGGAAGGTCCGAACTCCGTGATCATTTGAGTGTGTTTGAGTTTGTCATTGGCGCATTTGCTTATGCATTTATCTTATATCCCCATTGCCTATTACTCTTGTATATTTTGCCCTATCACTTTTATAGTTTGATTATGTCACCCTTGTGTTAGTTTATATATCCTTGCATATATTTTTATCATATAGGATATATCTCATTGTTCATATTACTTATCCTTGCTCACATATCATGTTGTATTTCATACTTGCTAGGGTAACTCATTAATTAGTTTTAATTGACATAAAATCGGATTTGATTACCATAAGACCCTAATCACCCCCCTAGGGTCTAACACACATTGGCTAGCCATTCAGGGTATTAGACTCCCCGAATGAAACTAGCTCTGAGGAGCCGTTCGACTTCCTCGGTCGCCGCCTTCTGGCGCTCAGGGCTGAGATGTCTATTCTTTTGTTGCATAAGCTTAGTGTGCTTGTCGACAGCCAGCTCGTGGCTTATCACTTTGGGGAGAACCCCCAACATATCTTCGGGTCCCCAGGTGAACACATCAGTGTTTGCCTGTGAGATCTCTGTCAACGCTCCCCGCAAGGGCTCGACTAAGCTGGAACCAATCTTGAATGTCTTTTGCCCTTCGTGCTCGATTGGTATCTCGTGGAGCTCTTCCACCGGTGTCGTCCTCTATCGCTCAGTGGCTTTCTCCATTTGGAGGTAGGCTTTCTCAATAGGCAAGGCATCTTGCACGCCTTTACCTTTGGTCGAGAGTAGGTAGTAGGACCTGGCTTCTCGCTGATTGCTCCTAGGGACTCCGACTCCATTAGGAGTCAGGAACTTGACCATCTGGTGGTAAGTTGAAGGGATGGCCCACAAAAGATGGAGGGCGGTTCGGCCTAGGATGACATTGTGGGCCGACTTAAGATTCATTATCAGGAACTGCATTTTGACGGTGGTTTGCCTAGGGTACTCTCCAATTGTTAGGGGAAGAGTAATCATCCCTTCTAGCAGAAGAGAGTGTCCGGTAAATTTGATGAGGGGGCCTCTGTAGGGGAGCAGGCAAGATTTGTCGATGCCCATCTAGTTGAAGGCATCGACATATAAGATGTCCACCAAGCTCCCTGTATCGATCATGATCCGCCTCACTTGGTAGCCATCAATCCCTGTTGTGATGATGATGGGCTCGTCATGAGGCGTCTCGACACCTTGTAGGTCAGCATGCCCAAAAGAGATAGGCACCTCCATTTTTGACCACTTGTCGCACTGGTCAACCCGCAAAGTCCTCATGGCATACCTCTTCTGGGTATTGTTGGATAACCCTCTAGTGGTGGGACCACCATTGATCATGCTAATGACCCCTTTATGGAAAGGCTCCGGAGGTCGGCTACCCTGTTGCGGTCGAGGACGAGCTTGTTGTTGGCCTTCTTGTTTTGATGATATTTTAACAAACAATTTACAACTAATATTATTTATCTAGTGTTTGTGTTTTTATATTTATTCTAGACAAACAATCAGTCGGAGGTTAGATGGAATCGAGCATTCACGATCATATCCATTGGAGGATGGAAGGAATAGTGGAGTGAATCCATTTGCAATTCAAGTCAATTCAAGATCAAACTTCATCCGCAAAGTTTACCAAGTCAAGTATATTGAAGATCAATCTAGCTTGGGTAAATAGTTTAGGTGTTATATTATGTGTGTTTAATACTTCAAGCTATATTGAAGATCAATCTAGCTTGGGTAAATAGTTTAGGTGTTATATTATGTGTGTTTAATACTTCAAGCTCAATATCATATACACACACAATTTATGGTGTTATATTATGTGTGTTTAATACTTCAAGCTCAATATCATATACACACACAATTTATTGGTTTATCTGTTTTTTTGTTTACCCACAAATAAAGTTTTTACAAACAAATAAATTTATGTTTATATACATATATGTTTGTTTTCATGTGGATATGATATTTTAGTTTAGTTATATAGATATGCAACAAATATACATTCATATACATATTCATATGTTTTATATTCTATTATATTTTGAAAAATATTGTGTTATTAATTTATGGACTAAACAACACTAGTTTATATCTTTTACTTAGTCTATAAATCCACTCAAAAGTTTTTAAAACTTTGTTTAAGTCAAAATGTCAAAAACATGTATGTTTAGTTTTCATGTTTTGGACTAGTTTTGAAAAATGAAGAGATTTCTTATTTGGGAAGTGTAATTCCAAAAAATCTTTTTGTAACATGTTTATTTTCATGTTTACAAGCATTTCCCAAAGTTTTATATTTTTTAGAGTTTATTTACTATTTTTAAATGCACTTCAAAAAATCAGATTTATTATTTTAATCAGGCTAATAACTTGTTATCAGTCGACTGATGAAGTTTATCAGTCGACTGATGAACTCACCTAGAATTGCAAAAGTTTTTGTTTTTGTGACTAATAAGCTATCAGTCGACTGATGAGTTTATCAGTCGACTGACGAGGTCTTCAGTCGACTGATGTGTTGTGAGCTACCTGTAACGGTCAGCTCATAAGTCGACTAATCCAACCCGTCAGTCGACTGATGCCTGTAACGGCTAGTTTTTCCAGCTTTTGTACTATTTTGGTTTTTTGGTCTTTTTGCTGGGTTTTCTTGATCATTGAGGTTGCCTATATATACCCCCTCATACTCAACTCTGCTTTTAACCAAGAGAATGTTTTAAACAAGTTTAAGAGAGTTTTACAAGGGTTTAAAAGTTTATTTAAGTTTGTTTAAAAAGTTTTTAAGCATTTTCAAGTTTTAGTTTGTGAAAAGAATTTCACAAGAGCTAGAGGAGATCATCTTTGCTGTTTGAGCTTCACTCTTCTCTCTCTCTCTTATCATCGTTAGAGAAGTGTTTCTAAACTCTATCTAGATTTACATTTAAATACTTGTTTGATTATCATTTTATTAAGCTAGAGTTTATATTGAGTTTAGTTTTGATTTTATTCTCTTTGTTATACACACCCACTTGAGTTTTTGGTATTTTCATACATAGTATATTTGGGGTTGTAAGATTGTAACATTGAGTGTGGGCTTAATTGAGTTCTCACCTTGTTTAGAGAACAATCTTTTATTTGTGAGAAAAATTGTGTGGTTCATATTGTATTGCACAAGTACACCAAGATAAGTGTAGAGGTGAGAGACGTGGTCGGTCCCAAGAGAAGTGGCGTCAGTAGTAAAGCCTAGTGAGAGGTCGTAATTATGAGCACTTGACGGAGACATGTGAGAGGCCAACACTTAAGGTGGGATTTGTGTAGTTACATTATGAGTGATTGTGAACGTTGATCGGGGAGCGATGAAAATAGATATTGTGTGGTGTAAACATTTTTGGGTGAGCGTTAAAAACCTGATGTGATAGTGGATTTCTCCCCAGGAGTGGGGAGCGGAGACGTAGGACGGAAGGTCCGAACTCTGTGATCATTTCTTATGCATTTGAGTTTGGCTTGTGCACTTATATTTTGTTTATCTCTATCGTTATTCTCTCATTGTCTAATTTATCCACTATATTCTTTGTATTTGTTTATAGTTTACTCACCCTTAGTTTAATATCCTTGCATATTACTTGTTATATATCATACTTGTTAGAATACATTTGTTAATTAGTTTTAAATTGGCATTAAATCGGATTAGATTAGCATTAACCCTATTCACTCCACCTCTAGGGTGCTTTTAATTGGTATCAGAGCTTGGTACTCTTTGATTTGAGGTTTAATCACCTTGAGTTAACGATCCAAGCTTTAATATTGTTGCTAATCTTGTTTTGATAATTTTTTTGCTTGCATAATATATTATGGATATGCACGATACACCTAGTCTTTATTATGCCATTAATATTGCTCCTCGTTTAGATAATTTCCTCTATGCTCAATGGTGTGTTAGATTTAAACTTTTTATTAGATCTAGACATTTTGATTTGTGAAAAATTATTAATTGTGCTTATATTGTACCCACTTTGGAGAAATCCAAGTGGAGTAAAAATAATTTAAGAATGTTTACCATGAACAAGGTTTTGTTAGAATTCTTACATAAGGCATTTGATTCATCTTTTTCTAACAAGCTTGATTTTTTTGATAGTGCTTATACATTATAGAAACTTATAGAAGCACATCAAGGGAACTTGGAGGCGATCCAATAAGGTTTGGCGGCTTCCTCTTCAAGTTCTATTGGAGCATCACCATCGTGCATACGTCCACTAAGGGATAACCCTAGTGTGGTAGGCGATTCCAATTCCGAAAGTAAACTTTCAATTAATGAACTCGCTTGTGCATATGAAAGATTAACGCATGCCTATAAGAAATTGCATAATAATTTTATTGATCTTAAAAGCAAGCATGTTAATTTAAAATCCAATCATGAGTTGCTAGTGTGCAAATTGGATGTCATTGCAAAAAAAATGCTATGCTTAAAGAAAACAATGACATGTTAATTTTAGAAAATAAAAAATTGCCCTCATCCATTTCTAGCTTAACTCATGCTAATAATGATGCCATGCTAGAAGTAGAATGCATTAGAAATGAATTTAATTCAATCAAAAATGATCACGTTCTTTCTACTTCTAGTGTTAATGCAAATGTGTCTAATGATGAGTTGAATGTTGTTAAAAATTACATTTCATTCTTAGCTTCAACTCTTAATACATGCATTAACAACCATAAGAAGCTTATGAATATATTTTGCCAAGTCTAGTGCATATAAGTCAAAATCATCCACTCATCATGCACATATATATAGCAAAGTTTATAATTGTTCTATTTGCGGCTGAAAAGGCTATTTAGCTAAATTTTGCTATGATGCACAAAAATCTAAAAATATTAATACTCCATGTGCATCTCACATAGTTTTATCATCATACACACATGCACAAATTGATCATCATAAGCATACTAATGTGTTTAAATATGATTTTTGTGGTAGATTTGGTCATTTGGCCAAATTTTGTTTTGATTTAAAGAAAGTTTCAAATTTACAGAATAATTTTAAAAGACCATTCATGTTTGCATATTTCTAATGTTTCTCGTGCACTCTCATATGGTCCACAAAAATAAATGGGTCGCTTTTATTGCACATATTATAATCGGTAGGGTCATTTACAAGAATATTGTTTTGACCGGACTAGTGCACTATATGCGCCCAAATGGGTTCATAACCCTAGGACATTGAGCTTTAATGATAGGGGTCATGTCTCTAAATCTTTGGGCACCATAAGTGTTTGGGTGCCAAAACCATTTTGATTTTTTAAACCAAGATTTTTAATGTTTTTATTTTTTATTTCTTGTTTTTGAAAAATTTGCTTTTATGACTTAAATTTTGATTTATGATTTCATTTGAGTGATTTGTTTTCATTTGAATTTTTTTTCATGATTCTCATGTTTCCTATTCATTTGTTTTCATAAATCTATTTTCATATGGGTTTTATGTTTTTGATTTGAGACACACTCTTTTCATAATAACATATCAATATGTGCTCTCATTATCTTTTTGTACGTGAGTTATACTTAGCATGTTTTCTATATCTATGCTTGCTTACATATGTTTGCCTTGGTCCTCATTATGTATATTTATTAAGGTATTTTGATAGGGGGAGCTTTTCCTTATATGTGTTTTTTTTATATACTCACTGTGCTTGTAGGTAGGGAGAGCCTTCGCTCTCTTATCATTTTTCCCTTTTTGATGTTATCAAAGGGGGAGAAATATTGTGAGTATATACTTACTTGTTTATATGTATGATAATTCTAAAAAATGTATTCATTTCGTATCATGCATATCCCTTTTTGTAAATTGTTTGTCATCATCAAAAAGGGGGAGATTGTTAGCCTTCTTATTTTGATGATATTTTAACAAACAATTTACAACTAATATTGTTTGTCTAGTATTTATGTTTTTGTATTTATTCTAGACAAACAATCAGTCAGAGGTTGAATAGAATCGAGCATTCACGATCATATCCATTAGAGGATGGAAAGAATAGTGGAGCGAAGCCATTTGCAACAATTTAAGATCAAGCTTCATCCGCAAAGTTTATCAAGTCAAGCATATTGAAGAT